CCTCGACACAATTTAGATCATCTGGGAGGCAGGACAGTTCCGGTCCATTAGGGCGGACCTAAGCCAAATGGAATATAGTCTAATAGTATCGAAGCAAACAGACTGAGGTATCCGAACGTCCCCACTTGGAAAACTGAATCCATGTTCTGCGGGCGAAAAGCCACAAGATTACGCCACAGATGGCTGTACGGAGTATTGAATCATATAACATAAAGGGCCCCATACAAGTTCTTAGTTTGAAAATAAACAAGATAAATAAAATATAAAAGAAGAAACAGCAAGCCAAAATCTTATTGGTCAAAATGAGTTACATATCGAATATCATAGTTTTTTGTTTCTTTCGTAACCCACGGTAAAGCCAATGCAAAACATTCCAGCAGTCACTAAATATCAGACAGCCAAATATTGGCAAAAACGTGCAGGCAAACACGAGGAAACCAACTGAAGTACTCGATGGTCTGTGGTCTATGGCGCACATTTTGCTCCTTATTGTTCTAGAGAGGTTTGCTCTAGGAACGTATAGATAGCTGCTGATGGCTGCAATCCCTGAGGATAAGAATGTCTCATTTAGCAGGTCTCGATAGCCCTGAGGCAGAAGAACACATTTACATGGACACAAGTTAGCTCTCATTTGTGGGACTGTTCTGGTATGTATTTCTTTAGTGAAAGTCTTGGTTGTGTTGACTTTAGATGCCGTTGTCTCTGTTTCTGAAGTCAGAGTTTCCCAAAATGCTTTGGCATCAGTGAAGTTGAGAGTCGCAGGAGACGTGTCTTCCAGTTGGTGTATGTTATTAAAGACAGGCGTCACAACCTCCGTGCTTGTCATCTCAGGCTCACGCGACATCGTGTCATCATTAGCTGATTTAAAACTAGCAAGTGGAGCTGCCCAACCACTAAATGATCTTCCAAGTGCAATGATCAAACCGCTGAATGAGCACCGGTCGCTGTTTACTTGGATAGTTTCCTCCGTTGTGTGTGAAGTAATAAACATTTCTCTCGAGCAAAACCGGCATGTAGTTCCTTCATCTACGTGTTCCGGCGGTGTGTACAGTTCTTGAAACTCAACTCCAACGTCTATTTCTGTTATGCAATAACACAACGCTGTAATTACCATTTGAAACTTGATGTCGTCAAAGGGTAATATTTCTGCACGAGTGCCCCATTTGGAAAAAGGATAAAGAACAACGGCCGACGAATCAAAAGTCAAGCCAATATCATATTCAGGTAGGACAAGGACATACTGTAGCACCAATACGGGTGCCGAAGCTCTTAGATAGACCACATTGTCCCCAGACACTTTTACAGAGAAAAATGAGGAAGTATTTTGAGACGTGTTCACATTCATATCAATATGTTCCAAACCTAAAAAAGTTGTTGAAGGAGAGGTGTATGCGATTTTGATGAAGGTATCCTTGCTACCGTAGTAAAAAGGGGCAAGAACATATTCGTGTCCTAACTCAGACACAGGCGGAAGCTGCTCGATCATCATATCTTTAGTCCTGCACGAAAGCCTCCTTAAATGTACACAGTCAAAATTGGTCCCAGCGATGACAGCTACGGGATACCATGCTGTGACCCATGTACCTGTGAGGTCAGTCCTTTCGCCCAAGATTTGCAAAACATCTAATGGCTCCAAATATTCTCGTAAAGATTGCCCAGAATAGTAAATATCATCTATCTCTTTGTATGCGATACTACTATTTTCTGGATGTAATTTCAAGTTAATAGTGACGAAATTATCGCTTTCTGCATTCACAACAAGAAGGATACAGTCCGCTGTTACACATTCCGTGACCACTAAATATTCATGGGATAACAAGCTAATGGGCAAAACATTGAAACTTCCAGCGCTAGTAAAACCCGCAGTTTCCCTACTTCTAGCCTGGACAGCAAGCCGAGAAGTGGAAGATACTAAGATTGCCTGCTTCTTCCCTTTGCCAGACTCCGTGAAATGAACCAAATACTCGAGGTTAAGAAACCATTGCTCGTTTGAGTTGGACGTAAAACTGTGTGTATACTCTTGAGTCAATGTTTCACCTGATGAGGTCGTATTTACGGGTGCTTTTACAGTGACCTCGATGCTCTCCTCAACTAAGTCCTGTGAGACCACCGAGATGGCCAAAGAAGGAACAGCGTTTGTGGTGTGTTTTGGAAAAGCTAGAATATACTGGAAATGTTCTTTTGCAAAGACATCTGCTATAATCACAGCAAAGCACAAATATCGCTGTAGTCCTTGAAATGTTGAACCCATTGTGAGTCAAGACTGGTAAGGAGAATGTAAAGTGGCGCTTTGAATGATAACTCAGGTCTATGTTCTAATTATTCAAAAGACGTCACATAAATCAGTTGGTTTAAAAAAAAATTTTAACGGAAGCAATACAATTTCTTGAAAGTATGAACGAGAAGACAGGACTTGTCCGCTCAACTTTAAAGAGCTTGAGTTGTTTCAGTATTTCTGTTTCAGCTTTCAGAAAGCGGCAGTCTATAACTGAATCCGCTTTTCATCTATGGAAATATGGAAAATTAAAACGTATGTTTTCAAAACAACGATTGAGAAGGATATGACTAAAGCAGGATATGGCTTCAAGCTTACGTTTAAAAAGTCTCTGGTGATATGATAGGAATACCTTCGTGTAGTGATGTAGCCAAGCAGATAGATGCCCCGATGTATCATGATATGCATAAAAATTCAAATGTTCAAGCTTAACAACTCAAACTATGGTCCAAGAACTTAATGATTTGATTCAACATCACTGGCAATCCGTATCAGGAGACGTTAGTGTTGGACACTCTTGGACCTGTTGTCTTTGGAGCTATTATACGCAGTGCGAGGGAATACTTTGTCCATGATACTTTGAGTTCTAAAACATTTTGCAGCACAATGTTCCACAGACTGAAATGTAAGACTAAGAACAAGGAATGCAGAACTTTATATTATAGTCTTAAAGAAACCGTAACTTAGAGAGCCTCCTTGCTGTCTGAGACGTGTTCCTTAGTTTCCTTGGTGAACACCATTTGTGTTACCTCTCGCTGACAGACTGTAACAGCATGTCTTTTGTTTTCCGTAACAATAGTATGCATTCGATATGTCAATAAAACGCCATTATCATAACTTGGTGGCATGCTTTTCTTTCGTGTTTTTCCTTTGTTAGCATAATGTGATTTGAAGTCCCGTTGAACATGTGATGGCTCATCAAGGAAAGTGGAGCATTTGGTTCACCGACACAATGGGTGGTAGAGGCAAAACGTGGGTGCTCCTAATGTTGAATCCCTGGTGCTTCCAAGAGTTTGGTTGTTTGAACAGTGAGAAGCACATCGACACAATAACAGTCATTAAGTGCACGGAAGGAGTAAGACAAACGGAAACAAGGAAGGGTGAAAAAAACTATCTGGGAAAGAATGACGACAAAGACAATACCATCAAAGACAAAAGATATCCCAATACTGCTATGTTTTTGTTTCATATGTAATGATTCTTAACATATTTACAGAAGCATTTAAAGCAATTAGATTTTGAGAGGAAACCTTTGCTGAGTATAAAACTATCAAATACGAACAAAAGTTGGGTAACAAAAGAAACTAAAATGCCTCGTTTAAGTAAATCTAAAAGTTTCAAAGAACAACAATGGAAATAAAGCTGAACAGTTAAGAAAATCACGAAAAAGATTGTTGAATGTTTCAAGATTATACCACAAAAGTAGTGAAAGATATCCGATCAAAGCTTATGAAAAATATGTATTCCTGTTTTAAAAAATGTTTGCCTCTATGTTTTGCTAAGAATATTGGTGTATTCTTTTTTCAAGTTGAAAATGAACGAGTGTGCGAATGAAGTACACACAATCTGATGCCGGAATAAATCGTTTTTGCGTTGGGTTTTTTCTGTAAACGGAGGGAAAAGCTGACAGGCGAGCCTGATGGAGAAGAAGAATATGTTGAAATCAGTGATAGTAAAAGTAAAGTTTATCCCCTGTATGCACAACGCCCAGGGCCATGAAAGGGATGGGTGCGGAGGGGGGGGGGGGAAGAAGAGGGCTACAGTGGGCTTGTAGCTACGTCTCTGGGGAACAGCGAAACAGAGTGCTATCATCGTCTTGAAGCGCGACGACATTAGTTGGAGATGGAAGGAGCGAGGGTAGGGAAGGGGGGGGGGGGCGCTACCTTTTACTTTTAAATTTGCTGTTTCAAACATGTTCATAATGTGAACACGAAAAAGCTAGAAGCAGTCTGTACGGGGTGATTGTAAGCACTTCAAAAACGTAATGAGGGTAACTGACCCCAACCTTTATGTTTGTCTTAAAATATTTTGTTATGAGACATGGTTTTTATCAATTTCTGGAAAACAGCCGATCGAAACAATCCTCATTCAAAAACGTACGGCGTTCAATTAGACTTGGCTTCTCAAGTACTTTTAGACATTGTCAAGCTATTCTCTATCAGTTTCAAAGAAGGAAAAAAACCCGTCATGCTTGCACACATACGCGCGCCCGCGCACGCACGCACGCACGCACGCACGCACGAACACATACACACATACACACCCGCAAACACACACGTGCAAACACTCACAAACACCTACACACTACATACTACACAAACACATACACATATACATACATACATACATACATACATACATACATACATACATACATACATACATACGGGGGCTCTCGTGGCCTAGAGGTTAAGGTGTTGGCCTCTTATTCAAAGGTCCCGGGTTCGATTCCGGGTAGCGACCAAAAAATGTTCTTCTCTAAAAGTGTCTCCTTTCACATCCTTTCCTGATCTCTAACAATGTTCTGTTGTCTGCTTTCATTTCCACTTTCTGCCCCACCCCCTCACCTCCTTTGCCCCCTCCTCTGGGCTCCTGACTCATTCTGCAGCCTTTCTACTGCTACTCCTTGGCTCCTCCTTACTGTTGTCTATCTGCCACACCTAGCCTTCTCGGACAAGGGCGAAAAATCTCGGAGGGCCCGTGTGCAAGTTGCGCACGTTAAAGATCCCTTGGTGGTCTAAAATCGATAAGAGTAGGCTTCGGCCATCACCCGGGCAAAATTCAAAATTTCCTACCAACTGAAAATATTAGGATTGTCCCGCGCGCTCATATGACCTATGCAGTTGCGAGCGCCGTAAAACACTTTACAAAAACAAAAACAAAAAATACATACGTACATACGTACATACGTACATACGTACATACGTACATAACGTACATACGTACATACGTACATACGTACATACGTACATACGTACATACGTACATACACGTGCATGTATCGATGTAGGCCTATTGATGCGAAGTACTTCGACCCTGACTATCAGGGCCAGTCCAGGCTTAGCGGTATACAAAGTCCATAGGCAGACAAGCGTAAGAACTCAATCAAGATTCTCCCCACGCGGGATCCTATGCCTTCTGCTTTGGAAGGCAAATCGTTTAATCGCTGCACTTGAGACGGCGATACGATGATGTATTCTTATACGGGGTGCCCACTACGGCTGGATCGGGCCGATCGCCCGACTAGATCGCCTGAAACTGAAAACAAACACGTTTGTTTTTGAGGCGATCGAATCGGGCCCATCCGTAGTGGGCACGCGTATTATATACACTTAACAAACGAGAAAAACAATCTCTGTTCACTTCAGAGTCGTCTACCAAATGAAATAACTTTCTCTAATAATCTTTTTTTAGTTTTGTTTTGTTTAGTTTTTGGATGCTTTTTTTTCTAAGCCGGTGCAAGGGAGGAGAGGGGTAGCGGTTGGGTAGATAATGAAGAATGGCGTGTATGCCTTGTGTTTGGTATGGTTGTTTACTTTAAGAACACATTGCTCACTGGTGTCTTTAATGTAGCGATTAGGCACTTCGCTATCCCCCGCTGGAAACTCTAGTTCGATTCCTGAGTGGTGAGACCTTTAGTTATGTATCTCAGTCTTTCCTGTGGGATGTTGTGTCCCTCTCAGCCTGGTTTAGCGTGACAGACAGGCCCAAGCCCACCTCCAAAAAGTTCTAAATTGTGTTGGTAAGATAAGAGGTAAGATAAGATACATCTTTATTGTCCAGATCCTGGCACATTGGTTTCTTGTTTCACCACGTGTACACACACACACACACACACACACACACACACACACACACACACACACACACACACACACACAAACACACACACATGCACACACACACGTAGGCTTACAATCACAAGCATAATATGACTGAGCAGCAATATAAACAATAATACTCTTAAGCTAGATACACACTCAATATTATTCGGATGCATGCTCTAAGGTCGTGAGTATACTTATACAAGATGGTTAAGATGGAAGCATTTTGATAGATGATGGTAAAAATGACCTTCTATATCTTTCTTTGTTACAGATCAGAAGCCTAGGTCTTTTATTTCCTACTGATGTTTTTATTTGAGGGAACAAGGGATCTTTATTGTGTAAAAAGATGGAATTAAATTTTTTTGTGCAAGCTGTTATGTACAATTCATCCAAGTAGGGGAGTGTAGATGTTGAAATTTTACATGCTTTCCATATTAGTCGATTTAATTTCTCTTTATTTTGTTGTCTTGTGCTCCCAGCCCATGCTGTTATACAAAAATTGATCATACTTTCGATGGTTGCATGGCAGAATATGGACATCAATGTTTTCTCAACTTTAAAATACTTTAGCTTCCTTAGAAAAAATAGTCTTTTTTTCACTTTATTTATGCAGGAGAGAGGTGTGGACACGCCAGTTGAGTTTGTTGTCTATTGTAACTCCCACATACTTATAGTCTGACACTTACTCGACGTTTTCACATTTAATTTCGAGTGGCTGCAGGGGCAGTTTCTTTATTTTAAAATCAAAAACAAGTTCTTTTGGTTTTTTTCACATTTAAAAGCAGCTTACGATTTTCACACCATTCAGCAAAGTTAAGTACAAAATTCCGGTTCTGGTAAACGGTTTTTGTTATGGTCAGTCTGAATTAGCCCAATTATGGTTGAATCATCTGCAAATTTTATCAACTTAACGTTACTGTTGTTTATTTGACAATCGTTCGTGTAAAGTGTGAATAAAACTGGTGACAAAACACATCCTTGAGGGGCGCCTGTATTTGTATGTTGATGAAGAATGATGGGGGTGTAAGAACACCTAGGTTGAAAAATAATAATAACATTGCCCTTTATGAGTATGCGTCCAGATACATGGATACTTGCATTAGGCAAAAACAGCGTTAAATCGTAAAGACTGCACATTAATTTACAGTGTGGCTGAGATCACCGTATCGTCGTGTGAAAAGATAAGTCTTAGAGAAACTTTGAGAAGCAAAAAAGAAACACTCATGTAAAAATCAGCAAGTTGTTAATCGACCGTGCCACGCCTTTTCTTGATGGACCTTGAATGGGATAATCCAGTCACTTCTTGTTTAGACAACCCGGAACTGGATAGTCGAGTCGAATCACATCCTGTTTAGACAGGTCATGAACTGATTAGTCGAGTCAAGTCACATTGTACAGGTGAAAACCGTTCGTTTCTTGACAAAATGGGCCTGGAACTGGTTAGTCGAGTCTATACACTTTTTGCTTAGACGGACCCTGAACTGGTTAGTCGAGTCGAGTCACTTCCTATTTAAACAGGTCCTGAACTGGTTAGTTTCTAGACTAACTGTGATCCCAACTGGTTAGTCGAGTCGAGTCACTTCATGTCCAGATGAACCCTGAACTGATGCCTCGTCACTGTTTGTCGACTTTTGTTCTCTTAAGTAACTAATGGTAAAGCCAGCATAAAGCTTTGTACAAATCGCATAGCACCAGGCTCCCAAATATCGGGAAAAAAGTACAAACAAACACGAGGAAACCAACTGCAGTACTTGACGGCCTGTCATCCGTGGCGGACGTTTTGCTCCTTACTGTTTTGGAGAGGTCCTCTTTTAGAACATAGAGATAACTCTGGATGGCTGCTATCTCTGAGGACAAGGCTGTCCTATTGAGCATGTCTCGATGAGTATAAAAAGCTCGTGGACATGAACAGGGGCACAAGTTAACTCTGACTAGTGGGGTTGGGCTCGGGCTTACTTCATCAACTCTGTAGTGGAAATTCACAAGTGGCACGGCCCAACCAGAAACTGATCTTTTGACATTAATGATAGAACCAGTAAACGGACAACTTTCACCGTTTACTTCGATTTTATTCTCTAAATCGTTTGAAGAAATGAGTATTTCTTTAGAGCAATAACGAGAGGTTCCCCCCTCATCTTCGGGTTCCGAAAGTGTGTTCAGTTCTGTAATATCTACTCCAATTTGTATTTCATGTATACAGAGGCAGGATGCAATGATTATCATTTCATAATTGTTGTCGTCAAAAGTTAAAATTTCTGCACGATTGACCCATTTGGATATAGGGTATAGAACAGTAGCTGACAAATCAAAAAGAATTGTTTCGTTGAACGGTGGCAAAACAAACTGTACAATCAACACAGGGTCAGAGGCATGAAGATGAGTAATAGTGTGGGCTTCTACTTGAAAATAGAGAAAAGTGGATGTATTTCGAGATGTGCTTTCTTTCATCTGAATATGTTCCAGGCCAGAAAAAGTTGTGGAGGGAGTTACGTAAACAATTTTGACGAAAGAAACCTTATTTTCGTTAGAAAAAGGCGTTAGAACATAATCTTGTCCCAAATCAGAAACAGGGGGTAACTGCTCAATAAGCATATCTCTAAATTTGCACTTCTCATTCCCCATAAACACACAGTCAAAACTGGCCCCAGCAATGACAGCTACAGGTCTTTGTGCCCTGACCCAAGTACCTGTGAGGTCAGCTCCTTCACCCAAGATTTGCAGAACATCTAATGACTCCAAAGATTCTCGTAAAGATTGCCCCGAATAGAAAGTAATTGTATTTTTGTAATTGATACTACTGTCTGCGGGTTCGAAGGCAAACTCGATAGTGACATCATTGAATCCTTCTGAGTTCACGACGAGAAGGAAAGAAGACAAATGTACACTTTCGGTGACCACTAAATATTCACAGGATAGCAAACTGACGGGCATGACATTGAACGCTCCTGCAGATTTACCAGAACTTTCAGTTATCAGTATTTTAAAAGTTTTTGCATGAACCACAAGACCAGATGTGGACGTTATTAGAATTCCCTGGTTCTTCCCGATACCAGGCTTCTGGAAATGAACCAAGTACTCCAGATTGAGCAGCCATTGTTCGTTTGAGGCGGATGTAAAGTTGTGTGAATATTCCTGAGTCTTTATTTCACCAGATAAAGACGTACGTGCGGGTGCTGTTACAGTGACCTCGACGTTCTGAACAATATCCTGTGAGAGAGGTGAAATGGCCAATGAAGGAACGGCGTAGTTGAGATGTTTTGGAAACGCTAACACGTACTTGACCAGCTCTTCAGCAAATATATCTGTAATGATCACAGAAAGGCACAAACACCGATGCCACTCTTGAATTTTTATGTTCATGGTAAGGCAGTGACGGTGAGGAAACCTTGAAAGCAGCCTCCTCCTAATGGTCCTTCGTATAAACACCTAAAGAATTCAAAACCAATAGTTCGTATTATGATCTTTTTCGTTTGTCATAGTTACAATTTTGTTACTTTGGTTGGCAGGTCTCCCGTATTATCCTTGTACTGTGAAATTATTGCCCACAAGACCGTCTAGGTTACATAAAATTAAAGTATGTACATATCTTTTGTGTTTTTGTTGTGTATATATGAATAGTTCTCACAATGAAAATAATCTTCCCTGAAAGTGTAAAGAGAATCCGTTTCAAATTCCCATATCATAAGTTATATGGTACTGCTTTGTCTCTAGACGAAAAGAACACAGTAAGAAAAATATGACTGTGTACTGAACGCCCACAACATGTCCGATGCTACGATAAGACATCTTGAATAATAGTATAATAGTCGTCTCCTGATATCACACGAATCATCAAGAAAGAAACAGTCCATTATATATTGTGGACTATACCACATTCGCTGATGTACAGGACCTTGGTGTAGTGCCAATTACAACTTTACTGGCAATCTATATTGAAAGTGTTTTGTGTTGATCGCTCTCCGACTGTGTTATCAAACATAGTTTTGAGCTTGAAACCATAGCATAAGCCGACTCTTTAATGTGTTGTCGTTTTGAACAAAACAAATCATAATTAATGAAAGGGAATGCAAGTCAAAGATGCACTGAGTTGTATCTAAAACCACCAGAAACCACAAGAAAAGCATAATACAATCCAGGGAAACTGGAAATTATTACCCGTAAGGAATGCCTCCGCTGTATATATATAGTTCTTACCTGAAACGTACCTTTTAGAATGTGTTCTTGTCAGCGGAAGTTTGATCACTCAACTCGTTTCCTCCGGTAGAATGGCGTCAACCGTAGTTTGTCAAGAGCTCTGTGTTCTTTGTCGTGAGACCTCTGAGGAGAGGGGAAGGAAGGGGGTCTTTGTATTTGGGTCCCACTGAACACATAAGACTTAGAGGTCTTCCGGGAAGTAGAGAGGTCGGTTTGTCGGCAATATGCGCTGGTACCACGAAAACTGAGGTTGGACGGAGGAAAAAGTAACGATTTGATTAGCCATTGCCGGAAGGTTTGCCATTTACGTAAGCAGTAGCTGAAATAGGCCTATATTATGTTGGTTACATTAGCAGCAGCACAAAAAACGCATTAATACGCTAGGGGACCGATTGAGTTCTTCAAGTTAGGCGACTCTTGATGGGAAACGACAATAGAATCAACATATTTCACCAGAGTCGATGGTGTAGCGGTTAGACGTTTCATCTGCGCACATAGAAGTAGACCCGAGTTCGATTCTCGTGTGAAGTCAATTACATATTACCGAATGTCTACCTCTAGAACTTTCTCCTAGGGTGTTTTAATCCCTCTCAACCCAGGTTGCCCTGCCAGGCAGTGTCAAAACCGGCCTTCCTCCTAATTGACCTAAATTGTGTTAAAGGGGGCGTAAAACGTCTACATTAAAAAAGCCTCACCCTTGTGCGTGAAGTAGGATTGTATCGAAAGTAGCTGAGGGACTTAATTATCGAAAAGTAGTAAGCACATATTATAGCTCTTCCAACCTGATCGACTGACCTGGTGACGCGACAACCGTTACCTGCAACATAACCAGGAGCATGCCAATAAGTAAACACAAGAATACAGAGCCAACGAGGGGGGAAGGGGGGGGGGGTGGGAGAGAGAGAGAGAGAGAGGAGAGAGAGAGAGAGAGAGAGAAAGAGACAGAGAGTAGAGTGGAAGGAGGGGGGGATGGAAGTTGAACAGAAAGAGAAGTGTAACTGTGGAGTGATTGAAGGATGGCATTGTAGACTCTTTGGGCTGTGATTATTTTGTAGAGTGTACATTTGCAGAATAATTGTTTCTTGTAAGAAAGGATGCTAATAAACTAATAGAAATGAATACAGTAATACTCCCGGTCCTCACATCAATGTATGAAACTTTCTACAAACCGATAGCTAGAACGTATGTTTCTATCCTTCTCCCCACCTCTAAAAAAAAGCGCACAAAAAACCAAAAAAACCAGCACTTTAAAAAAAAAAATCAGAATGGATATAATATACTATCAAATATCTGAAATTGAAATTAAAAGTTACTCAACGGATATAATTTTAATTCATTTTAGCTTAACATTTTGAAACCTTTAATTTTTATTCACCTATCAAATGAGACAAATACTCCTAGTGCACAATGATAGCACGATTAGTTTTTTCTTAGAATCTCGGATCTCTCGAAACTGTTTAGTGAAGATCGATGAATAATAGTGGATTGAAAACACTTCGAACATGATCAGTGAGGAAATAAGTCCACCCTTATGAGCGTAGAGCTGTTTGGGTTTTTAAAAAATATTTTCAAAACTTATTTTTATGTTCGTGTTTTTATGCCCCGATCAACAAATTTTAGATAACTTAGAAAGCTGGCTACGACCCTCCCTGCCAGGGCCTACCAAAGCTGATAGGGTCCAACGGCCAAGCAGAAAGATGGCCATCATAGTCATCATCAATATGCCAGAACGGAAGCAAACATTAGCGATCATGGTTCCCTTTTCATTTCTCGGCTCCGAAAAATACTATACTGTCCGAGAAAAACCTGTACTGTCCTGGTGATTCCCTGTCACCGATCTGTTCAGATTTTCAAAATCAGTTTCTCTAGGTCTAATCCCGCCTCGTTTGCCTTCTACTTTGCCAGTGAAAGCAAGATGTTCAAAGCTCTTATCGATTCAAGTGTCCCAGAAACTGCATTTGTCGCTTCTTTGTTCTTATTAATAAGCGGTTTTTGTTTCTAAGCCTGTCTGACCTTTTCCGACTTTTCCTCATCCCGGAACGTTTCTTTCTGCAGCCTCTTCTCCTTCCCCTTTTCCTTGGTACCTTTTTTGGCGATAATGCCGGGAGCGTCGTCAAGGGAGCACGATCTCCGTAGCTCCCGCGCCGTTTCCCTTTTAAAGAAATATAATTTAAACTCATGATGCGTTTTTATAACTTGGGAATTTATACTGTAACCCTGGCAGAGCCCCATACCAGGGAAGGGGACACATTCATGCCTGGCTCCGCCCCCGAGGTCGCCAAATACCCACATAAGCGACTGACTAACCCGCAGCCATACATCCCGTGGGCACGTTGGTACATCTTGGTCTTAGGGATTTTTTGTCGAGGTTGTCTCCTCTAGATCCGTTGTGTTCCGTTCCTGAACCGCAAGGTTTAGGATAACAGTGTCACCTCTGGAAGGATGTGGCTCTTCGCTCACGCACAACGGTCTTGAGATAATGAGAGGTTGGCTGGGTACATGGACTGGCAGCTCGAGATGCATGCCACTTTCACTGAAAAAAAAATCCAGCTATACCCAGAGGTGCCTAAGGGGGAGAGCTCGGTGTCTCCACAGTGTTTCCGCTTCCCAAGAACCTTAACATCATTACCCCCTGGGCTCCCGCCGTGGTTGATCGTGAGGTGAAATTTGACAAAGAAGTGTTGAAAACCCTGGAGAAAAAGTTGCAGGATGAAGAAGACAAGGAGACAGCAGAACACCACGCAATCATTAGGATGCGGGAAAGGCGGATAGAGAGGGGAGAAGGAAAAAATGAACGATTATCTGGAAAGGAAAGACGTCGCCATAATCCGACAGCCACCGGAACATTCAGTATGGATACCTTGCGGGCTTTGGTGTTGGGGGGAACTGAGCACTTATGGACCTGTCCGGTGTGCAATGACGTTGTTGCCCAGGACAGGTAATACAGGTAATAATAATAAGCGGACCTCGTGAGCTGTTTCCAGGGCTCACTCTTTTGATTTCTATTCGTTTCATAAAATTCGCCAAAGGCTAAAACGATTATTTCTGTTCCTTCTATTTTATTTCAACTTCACCTGGTAATTGTCCAGCATTTATAGCTGTACAAACAGCTTGACTACACACAGCCTTTTAGAAACCTTATTATAGTTGTCATTGAAATATTTCTATTTTTAGACTAACCTCTACACAAAACAGTACAGGCTGTGAAAATAAAATAAGAGTAATTTTATTATGTCACCACACCTCTTTAGCATGTACACTGAAACAATCCTTAGAAACATAGAAGAATGTCCAGGTTTTAAAGTGAATGGCGAAAATATTAATAACATCAGATATGCCGATGACACTGTTTTAATAGCAGACTCAGAAAAGGACATTCAATCGCTTCTAGATACTGTTGTAACAGAACATGAATGTAAAGGATTATTATTAAATGTAAAGGATACAGAATGCATGGTAATATCCAATAAAGCAGCGAATTCTATTTGTAATCTCATTAGCAAAGGCGAAAATATCAAACAAGTCCAACAGTTTAAATATCTAGGATACATAATAACATCTGAGGCAAAAGTTCCACAGAAATAAAATGGACAATTTTAATGGTTAAGGCTAGTTTTCATAAAATGAGCCCAATCCTGAGAAATAGAAACATCTCAATGACTACCAAAATGAAAGTTCTGAAGTGCTATGTATGATCAACCCTTCTATATGGCTGTGAATGCTGGACAATCTTTAAATACAGGGAAAATAGAATAGAAGCAACAGAAATCTGGTTTCTTGGGAGACTGCTGAGAATATAATGTGAGGAGAAGAAATCAAATGAGATAGTGCTTGATGAAGCCCTATTGGGACGCTC